TTCACACATACTGTTTTCACCTTTATGTGTATGATTTTAGAGTAAATTTTTGTTTAAATCGCAATAATAAGTAAGCATTTTACCTTAGTCACTGCCGTTTTTATGTAGCACCAATATGATATGTTATAGAATTGTAAACTCTATAAGCAATAGTGAGAAAGTTAAAAATCCATTGTATTTTGTCTGAGTTTTAAAATAGAATATTCTAAATTGTAAATCCACGTACATTTGGTTTGTTTTTGTTATATTTATATGTCTAGATGAGACCGAGTCAAAAAGCAATACTAATAATAAGCACAAAAGTACTTTAAAACTGATAGTTAATGATATTTGGTTTTAAAATCGTTTCAAGGTTATTAATTATAATTTCTGTGAATGTTTTGAGGCACTCAAACTGAGTGTTACAGTTTACATTTAAAATGGGCAATAACTTACGTGTCTAATGATATCAGGCATAAGAAATAACATTATTAAGATTGGGAATAAAATACCCATCACAATTGTAGCTCATAATAAAAGCATTTTGATGAAAGAACCATACAATTTTGAATTGCACCGTCAATTCTAGACATATGTTTATTAACTGAAAACAGCTATTTTGACGGCTTCTTGATAACTCCTGATAAATATAGATTTACAGATAGTTTGAACTAATTCAGATAAAAAAGTTCACGAGTTATTTAGAATCTGTGAAACTGGCTGTAAAATATGTCATATACATTATATGATAGGATATATATGGTGTATAAATCTTTAATTGATTTGTTGTTCACTGAAAATGGCGGGTTACTCACGTGAATATACTGAGAAAAGTTTTACTAGTTTCGAACCACGGAGGGGTTCTTCGCCATGAGCTGCTGGCTGCACTACCTCGCCGCGACAGATAACCCTTCTGTGGTTCGAAATTAGTAGAGCTTTTCTCAGTATATTCACGTGAGTAACCCGCGATTTTTAGGTAATTTAGTATGTCTCACGATAGTTGTTTTTGTTGTTATTAAGACTCATTCACTACATTTGACTATTAGAAAAATAATAAACTTGTGTGCAGTGTGTGCTACACATTAAATACGATCTTGTCTATCCTTTAGGGTAAAAGAAAGACGTCATGAATGTCGAAAGTCCATTTGAACTTTTTCTGTTGTAATTACCAGAATTTATTGTTTTATACAATAGTTTTATACAAACTTAGTAAATAGAAACTGTATTTATACATTTATTGAAAATATTATATTATGCAAGCAATATTATAAAGTAAGAATTTTCTTCCTTGTGCCTAGAATGTATAAACAAACAAATATAAACTGTATAACTTATTTTATGTTTTTTGTAATAACATCAGAATATTGACAAATCTGTATTATTTGGTTGAAACTTCTACCTGTACCTTATGATGTCGCGGAGAAGCTAACGGGTAACCGGGGCTCCGGCTCGTGCAGGAGAAGGAACGGGGTGGTTTTAAGTCAGTAAGAGTCTGACACTCCCTCCCGCCTCACTCAGGCGGGAGCAGTCATTCGATGATTTTCCTCCCTTAAAAAAACCCTTATGATACTGTTTATTAAAAACATGAAAAGTAATTATAGTCTTAATTTTGTATTCTGAAATAAATTTTTCCTTGGACTTTGTTCGTTAACTAACGTGTATGTTATATTTTGTAAACTTGTAGTATATTATATATTTATTACAAAACGCCAAACGTATAGTGGATTTAGATATTTTAAATTGTATGTATGCCATTGTAACCCTTATCTACATATCAATACAGTTGTTAATCCAGTTGTTACTGTTTTTAAATTGTTATTATTTTATGCCTTACATTTAATATCTATGTCCGAATTATGTAAACATGTTTGTTTATCTGGTATTTTGAACTAACGTTATTTGAATAACGCATTTTAAAAATTGTGCTCAAAAATATTCGTTTTGTTTTAACAATCTATATAGAATCGGTAATGTTATGGTATTTTATGTCTAATTCTCAGAAATATCGAAATAGTCTAATAATTGTCGGGAGTAATTGATACTCAACAGTATACGATTCCATTTTGAAATGTTTCGATACTAATTTTAATAGAAACTTACTATTTAAAAGTCTAATATCTTCCCCATACAATCTAGTCCGCTTATGCCTAAAAAGTAAAATAATTGGTTTATTATAACTAAGCGATTTTAACTAATATTCTCTTACACATTGTCTCGTAGTCAAAAATCGGTTTTACGTTTAATATAATTAAGGTCTTGATTTGTACTAACGACATTAGGTGCTTGATTTTATCAATATTGCATTTATAACATTTAGATGTTGCTTCCAAGATATTCTAAAACTTAAATATAAAGGAATATCTTAGATAATTATATGACATATAGTAATAATAATAAAGGCTAAATTCGTAAAGAATAGCTCGTTTTTCTAACTTTTCACACTAAATAATAGGATTAAAAATGTTAGTTCGTCAAAATCGGAAGGAAGCTGATAGTTTTTTTTTCTTATTTCGATCTAGGAATCCTTTTTATTATTTTGTAAAGGGTATCTTAAGTTTTGTCACTTTTAGGCAATTAGTTTTAGTATCTTTAGTGTAATTGTGCCTTTCACGAAGCTGATTTGCTTGGATGGAAATGTGTCATATAATTTACCTAACGTGGTAATGTTTGATTGTATAACTTGAATTATACAGAGGAAAGAAATATAAAATCGACTTATATATTATATTTCTGTCTTATAAGTCAGTTTCGTTAAAGCATTCTCGCAAGATATTGTTACAACAATGTAAAATGCAAATAAACTACGCTAGATTATGACTCTGTTGTTTGTTTTGTCTAATAATAATTACCATTCGTAAAATGATGTGATTTTTATATATAGAAGATCTCAGGAAATAAATATGCAGGCAAATGTTGTGTTTTAATTTCTCATGTAATTTATTGTTTACCCCGTATATATAAGTCTAGTTATAAGTTTATAATTACTGATTTTGTAATATTCACTGGTTTTGTATTATATTTTGAGTGTTGTATGAGTATTTTTGTACATATTTTAGATTGAAGTGTAATGTTATGAAGTCAGTAAGTTGTTTACTCACCAAGTCTTAGTGAATGAATGATTTCATTCAGTCATTCACAGAATAAAAAATAAAGAATGAGTATAAAATCATGTTTTTTAAATATATATTGCAATTTGTTGAGTGAACGAATGTTTTGTTATTGTTTTTTTTATTTGATTTGTGATGAACCAATCGTTTTGCTTCGCGTATTCTTCGGAATATGATCGGAGCGTCCTAAGACTGAATTTGAAATAAAAAGACTTTATTTTGAAACATTGCATTTTTACTGACAAAATCTCCCTTAATGACACGAAATTGACTCTGCCTAAACCCTGGAGAATGGATTATGATAATGATGAAATGTAGGTAAGACTGCCTCGTTGGCCGAGTGGTCGCAAGTGCGACTGCCGGGCAAGGGGAGACCCCTTGCCCGGCAGTCGTTCAATTCCCGGGTCGGGCAAAGTAATAATGGTCTTTTAAAAAATCTCAGTAGTAGCACGGAGTCTGGAATTGTGCGTGTCCGGTATATGGCAATAGGTTCACCCCCATTTACATGGGACTCATAACATAAATAGTGGAAAGTGAGTGTAACAACCCCTTCGGGGATAAAAGCACGATGTTATATAATACCAACTACATACACACTTTTGCATTCATATATTCGGGTCACGATCTGTCCACCCACTGGGTTAGACTACTGCACTAAGTAGTAGACGGTTATTTCACTTTTAATCACAAAAAAGTATTTACCTTCAATACTAAATTTCACTACAAAGGTACAGTTAAAATACGTTATATACATACGGATAAAAAATAGGTAGGACGTAGGAAATATACAAGGATGACCGTGGAACAACAATAAAATACGCAGTTCTTAAGAAATAATTTTTATTCACTGGTCCAATTCTTAAAAATAAATTACATAATAAAATAAATACAAGTTCATTTTGTATCGAGTTACAGTACCGAAATAAATAATTATTGCTAAAAACACAGTTACACTGTCCTTACATTAAATATTTAGCTATTTCACATCTTATAACTAACTTGTTCTAAAAATATAATAATATAAAAAAAACTTAATTCTTATATACAATCTGTAAGAGGCGAGAGTATTAAGTCATCTTTGCTTGTATGCAATTTAGATTATAAGGTCTTGTTAGGTATTCAGTTCATTAAAAAATGTTACACAAGTATCAACACAGACATTCCTCAAAATCTGCTTTAGCGATTTCAATGGAATTGCTAAGGTGCAACTCATAAAAATATTTTACGGCACTGGTCCCCAAAATTATCTGAACTACGACCTATCTAAATCCAGTTACAAAAATTAGGACCCACATTTAGGAAATTAAACTGTTACCAATTTGAAAAATACAACACAAAACGGTTGTTTAGTGAGTCATTCTACAGACAAAGCCCACTAAAAATTCGTTCGGGACCCGTAGTTTGAGAAACCCTGTTTTAAGTTTTAGGAAACCGAGAGTAAAGTTCCCTTTTCCTATCAAAAGGAGGATCGTTCGACACGGCGAGTCGATCATGCCTGGGCTACTGCCCAACGCATGGATATTCGAAACGATACGGCCTTCAAACCTTCAAGAAAAGAGCGTATTCTTTTTTACAAGGCCGGCAACGCACCTGTGACTCCTCTGGTGATGCGGGTGTCCATGGGCGGCGCTGATCGCTTACCATCAGGTGATCCGTCTGCTCGTTTGCCTCCTATTCCATAAAAAAAAATATAACAGTTTTCTATTCATATTTAATCGCGAGCAAACTTCACAGGCGCGGTGTAGAATTTTATGTCATCTGTCATCCATCTTTGGCGCTGAAACTTCAATTACATCGCCACAATATCTTAATCCGAGTTGAGTTCGGTAGCCCTGTATACCTAAATCCAACAATATAATAAAAATTCACCTATATAGTCTTTCAATCAACGTATGCACCCACTTATTCTCTAATCTAAAATACATAGTTATTCCTAAAACTCAGGAAGGTAGCGACGTTAAAGTATCGTGGCATGGCGTCCAGTATGGCGCGGTACTCCGCCGTCATCTGCTCGGGATGGTAGATCTTGTGAGAGTGATGGGAGATGTCCACTATTGGCTGCGATTGGAGGGACGCTGGGACCTGTTAGGAAGAAACAAAATTATTTGTTTTTGAGATAAAAATTACATTTGTTTGTAGACTAAAGGACGTCCTGCACGTAAAGCTCACAGAAAATCGACGTGAAACAACGCTTGCGTTATGTAAGCGAGGTTACCGGATGCCCAATTACCGGCCCCCCCTCCTCAGTCTCCCCAATCTCCGAATTTTCCACAATCCTCAAATTCCCAATCCCCAAAAGGCCGGTAACGCACTTGTAACGCCTCTGGTGTTCCGGGTATCTATAGGCGACACCGATTGTTTACCATTAGGTGATCCGTCAGCTCATTCACCGGCTTATACCGTAAAAAAAAAATTAAAAATAAACATAGCACTAAGCTCTCTGGTAAAACTGCTCCAACTCGGCTGGCAAGCGTAGAGATAGTAGCAAATGCTTAAACAGAAGATACCCAGCCGTTTTCACCAGCCACTCCTAAACTATCTCTTAACAAGAGTTACTTAGTGTAAGGAAATACTTAAACTTAGTATTGTTAGGTGTCACTTATACGTTGTGTAATATTTATTTGTAACTTAATAGAATAATGATTAGAGCCATTAGACAGTCAGTCCATTACCGAAGAAAATTGCTTGTTATAAAGGGTTCGATTGCGACCTCTTACTAGGTGGAGTAACGCACTCCTCTCGTACTCTCCACTCTTTTTTTATAACGCGTTGGTAATCCTGGGGGAGGGGGGGCGGTGTGCCGGATGTGTGCCGGACTGTGACCGGCTAAAACCATGGCGGTGTTCCTCCTCTGCCTGTGGATGTGATTCACCGCACCACTCCTCTCGTCTTGTACAACCAATACTAACCTAGATAGTGACCTCGCAGTGGCGTGCCCTATATCCAGTGTAAAAATGTTTAAATATATAATACTCACATTAAAAGTAACATCAAGATAGTAATCAATGGAGTCCGCAAAGTACGTAGCAGTAGAGTGGTAGATGACGAACACAGGCCGCTGCAGTAACTCTGCGCTGCTCTGTGGGTGGGTGGACAGTGACCACGATGTAAGAGACACGTTCGTACGGGGCCATAGCGTTATCATGTTGTGGTGAGCTCCTGGAGAAGGTAAAAAGGGATGTTTAGATGTGATCAATTCCAGAAAACCACCTGTAATAAGATATTTTTTTGCCCCACACTAGGATTTCTCCCGTGTCATGGGTTCGTTCACATACACATGACATCTAGACCCCAAACAACAATAACATAGTTTTTACTAATAAATAACAACGTGCCACCTACTACGATCCTTACATATTTCTTTAGCTAGAGTATTTCAATAATGTTCCATAAGTATTGTCGTAACAAAATCTAATTGATAATCTATACTCGGAATTTTAATTCGATTCTAGATTTGACAATTTCAGTGTTGCAACGTTATGACAAGTACTAAATAGTGACGTTGCGAAATTATTCAATAAGGAAATGCAATATTTCTGGATCGATTCTTCTCGTTTATAATTTTACTCTCGTAAACTAAGTATATCAGGAAATTAAATATTTCTGAACCGATAATTTAGTTTTGACGATGAATTAACGATCTGAGACTTTTCTTTTATAATTGTGTGTGAAATAAATAAAAAAATGTAATCATGAAGGAACATGACAAATAAAACAGATAGATGTATTATGGTAATAAGTTATTTTATAAATTGTCGCCGTCATTGGTATCGCTTCCCTGTCACTTTCTGTAACATTTATTATAAAACACACACACTGATTGTTTATCGATTTTTGTGTGCATCACTACACTATTATATGTGGTATCATTATTTCAACAAATGACAGTAGCTATTGTCAAATCTGGAATCTAATTAAAATTCTGACTATAATTGGCTAGGCAACCGGCTGCCGCGCAACGTGTCGTGGATTCGATTTCCGCACGAGTCACTCTTTGTGTGATCTATAAACCGTTGTTTCGGGTCTGGATATCATGTGTATGTGAACTTGTATGTTTGTAAACGAGACCCACGACATATGGAAAAATACTATTGCGGGGAAACGTTAAAAATATTTCTCAAGTCCATAATTTTTGAAAAACCTTTATCTTTTGTACAGTTAGGAAAATAGTTACACAGTCGCTCTACTGAAATTAGTTTGAAATCAAAACTGTAATACTTTACTTGAAAATCTTTTTCATTGTAACATAACACGCCCGAAGGGAAGGCAGAGGTGTACATTATGCCACTGTATAATGTAACACTCACTTTTCACTATTACGTCATCAGTCCCATGTAATAGGAGGTGAGCCTATTGCCATATACCGGGCACAATTCCAGACTCCGTGCTACTACTGAGATATTTTTAAAAATCCAGTATTACTTTGCCCGACCCGGGAATCGGCACTCGGACAGCGAGGCAGTCCTTTTTCATGCAGGCTTTTTCATTATAAGTAGGCTCAAGTTGTAGCTAAATCGAATCAAAATCAATTGTAGATCCTGGCTTACAGGAGTTGCAGCGGTTTTGAGAGGTTGTGGCGGGCATGTCAAAAAAAGTAGGCTCAAATTATCGCATCGTTCAGATAAAACTTACCAGTAAAAACGAAGCTATACTTGCACTCGTCCCCGCCACAGGATTTGTTCGCCACCCTGGTGGCCGCGGGCGGGGCGAAGGTCGCCGGTGGACCCGTCGATAATAACATTGCATCCTTTCTGTAACACATATTAATATTTCTACAAATTTCAATATTAAAAGAGCTGAAATAAATTTAAAAAATGTAACATCACGCCTTTTTACGCTGAAAGGGTAGGCAGAGGTGCAAATTACAGCACTTAATGCTACTGTACAATGTAACACCCAATTTTCACTATATAAGTCCCATGTAATAGGGAGTGAGCCTATTGCCATTATACAGGGCACAATTCCAGACCCCGCGCTACCACTGAGAATTTTTTTAACAACCCAGTAGCACTTTGTCCGACCCGGGAATCGAACCTGAGACCTCTTGCCCGGCAGTCGCACTAGCGACCACTAGCCCAGTCCAAGAGGTATAATATACTTACAAAAACCTTGAAAACCCAGTCCTAAATAGTGGCAGACCACAGAAGACTTGTTTCTCACAGTCCTCACTGAACCCGGTCCTGGACTCCAGGTTGTACCCGGCCGCAGACAGGGCGCGCAGCACCCGGGGGGCAGAGTAAGCATCGTGTTTCGTTACTACTATACCCGATGTCGACGATTCTAACTTGCCATTGATGTCATATGATGATATTTGTGAATGCTGGAATTTGATAACATAAGAACAATTAAGATGGAAGAATAATAAGTTAATTGGTTTTGATTAAGTTCTATATTAAATATTTAAGTGTGTGCTTCCCATGCTTCAACACTGCAGTGCGGGCTCAACCGGAGTGATACCTCCGACGAGCTGACAACTGTACTCACACAGCGCTGTGTAGTCGGCTGAGGGAGGGTAGTGGAGGACCAGTTATTCCTCCCCAATCCCCTAATCCCCAACAATCCTCGAATTCCTAATCCCAAAACGCCGGTAAAGCACTTGTAACGCGTCCATGGACGGCGCTGAAAACCATCAGGTAATCTGTCTGCTCGTTTATCAATTTTCGCTCATACAACGAAAACTAATAAAAGTAGCACTACGTCTACTGGTAATTCTGTTACATCAAAATGATAGAAGCATAGAATAGGCCGAACAGATGTAGTCTATTCAATATTCATTGTGTTTTGTTTAGAGAAATTATCGTTTTTGACTTCTAAAGTACCTAATCTTGATAATAAACACATATATAACATCACGCCTTTTATCCCCGAAGGATTAGGCAGAGGTGCACACAGAAGTAACACCCACTTTTCACTATTTATGTTATGAGTCCCATTTAATAGGGGGTGAGCCTATTGCCACTGAGATTTATTTAAAAAAAACCCAGTAATACTTTGCCCGGCCCGGGAATCGAACCCGAGACCCCTTGCCCGGTAGTCGCACTTGCGACCACTCGGCCAACAAGGCAGTCAGTATCTTGATAACGATTGATTAGAAAATTACCCTTTTATTATATTTCTTCCGTATAACACATTAAGGAATTTCAATCAAATTGCATTATATTTAAAGCTATGTTTTTATAATAACTATCGTGAGACATACTACATTAAGTAAAATCGCGGGTTACTCACGTGTATATACTGAGAAAAGCTCTACTAGTTTCGAACCACAGAGGGGTTCTTCCTCATGAGGAAGCATTTTGGAATTTAAAGCTGTTTGTTAAAAATAAACAAGTTCAAAGTCAACGTCTAAATAATAAGTCAAATATTGTAGTACTTACAAACCAATAATGCCTCTGTAACGCGATGCCGTCGCCATCGTACGGTGAGAACGGAATGAACATGAGCACTACGCAGGCCGCGCCCGACACCGACAGGACCAGCCACAGGAACTTGCGGGAGAATAGTAGCTCTATACCGGACTGGGGAGGAAATATACTTTGAGTGTGGGAGAGCCATGCTTCGACACGAATGGGCCTGCTCGACCGGAATTATACCACGGCCGAGCAAAAACCGATGTGAAACAACCACAGCGTTATATTTCATCGTGTGAGTGACGTTACTGGAGGCCCAATTACCCCTACCCCCTTCTCCAAACTCCATAGTTTCTTAATCCCCAAGAATCCTCAAATTTCTAACCCCAAAAGGCCAGTAATGCACTTATAACGCATCTGGTGTTCCAGGTGTCCATGGGCGACGCCGATTGCTTACCATCAGGTGATCCGCTCTGCTCGTTTATCGGGTTATTTCATAAAAAAGTTAGCAGAGATAAAGGTAATGGCTAAATTAAGAAATTAAATTCATAATTAATAAATAAATATAGGTATACATTGTTACTTTGAACACAGACAAAACCATGTTCACGAGAGTAACCCGCGTTTTTACTTAATTTAGTATGTCTCACGATAGTTATTATAAAAACACAGATAGAACCGTGCGAATAGTGAGATCAAAAAACCACAATTACATTTTGTCCAATTCGGGAATTGGGCCAAAAACTTCTCGTTCATGTAGCCGCACTTGCGATATTATAAGCAACAATAGTCAAATGTATTTCTAATTTGTCTTTGTGTAGAAAATAGTATAAAAAAAGTACATAATGAATGGGTAAGAACATCGAGAAGAGGTCGATTATTCGTTGTTATTGTAGGCCGAGATTCACTTTGGTTTGTGAGTATTATAACCAAATAAATACAATTTATTTAAATTTTACGTTTTAAGGCCGATTTTTGCAACGTCAGATAAATTTTGTATATTTTTAATATAATACAAAATATGTCAGTCAAACATTTTATTGTACGAATAGTTTGCTGTTGATTGAAAAAGCAGCCTTTAATTACGTAAATGTATACTTACAACAGTACAAGCAACGAGTATGACGAGTGCCAGATTGATCATGGCGACGGTGACGTCAGGCTTGTCCCCCGCGGAGCGCGCCATGACGGGCAGGATCTGTGCGTCCAGGCGCAGCGCCAGCGACAGTGCCCACATACTGGACGGGACTGACAGTGACAGCTCCAGCACCAGGTGCTGCCAACCTGGGGGGGACATGTACCATAGGGTAGTTTCCTAAACTTTATGTTAATGTCCGTCTGGTACATTAATTTAAAACTTTAAACACGGATTTTTTCTATCCTCACAAAAATAAATACTTTCGACGATATTATTAATTTGAAATGTCGTGTGACGTCACAGCGTGCCACATTTTGTAGCACGTTATGACGTAACAACCTGCCACTCCTAAACTTGGCGGCATTTTATTAAGTATTGCAACGTAATACGAGAAAATAAAAAAATACGTGTCTAATATTTTTTCATTATCTAACTGACGGACTAATTAGATTTTCACTTATTTCACAAATGACTGTGTTTAAACCGGCCAAATTTTTCCTTTATAAAACGTTGCGCCACATTACAATCTTCTCCTACATCGTGAGAGTGTCCCACTCAGACTTAGAACAGCAATTTGTGAATGAAATAAAGAACTGTTCGGGAATCGAACCTGTGACACATTGTACGGCAATCAGTTACCTAAACACTATGCAATCTGTGCAATCCAAGTAACATTTTCAGTTTATACAGAACTCGAAATCTGTCTGCATAACATTCTTATACAGAGTGTGAATGGAATTATACTTTTGCCCGACCCGGGAATCGAACCCGAGATCCCTTGCCCGGCCCGGTTGGACCACTCGACCAACGAGACATTCGAGGCAGCAGAAGCAGGGTTTATTTGTAATACTTTTTAGCTATTTTGAAATAGAATTTCAATAATTAATAAATACAAAAACTACTTACCTCGTAATGCAACAAATCTGAGTATAGTAAGCGAGGCTAGTGATGTGACCGACAAGATGAACAGTGGCGCGCTGAATATATATCGCAGCGACGTCAGCGCGGGCACGCAGCACAACACTAGCAGGGTCACTGACACCAACAGGCGGGTCGCTGCCATCGCTTGGGCGCAGCGGAGGGAACGAGTTAGTCCTGTCTGGAGATAAGAATCGTTGTGTCAGTAAGGTTACTGGAGGCCTAATCACTCTCCTAACAGGTAACCGGGGCTCCGGCTCGACGTGCAGGAGAAGGAACGGGGTGGTTTTTAGTCAGTAAGAGTCTGACACTCCCTCCCGCCTCACCCAGGCGGGAGCAGTCATTCGATGATTTTCCTCTCTTAAAAGAAAAAAAATATCCCAAATCCTAACAGACTCTTCTGGCGTTGCAGTTGCAGGTGTTCATCAGCGACATTTTTAGGCGTTACAAGTGCGTTGCCGGTCTATTGAGGATTTTGGGGATTAGGAGTTTGAGGATTGTTGGTAATTCATAGATTGGAAAGATTGGGTAAGGGAGGGGGTGGGGTGGTAATAGGGCCTTCGGTAACCTCATTTTTCTTGATTCTTGACGTTCGATGTGAACAGACGTGCATACTAGAAATATTGAATCAAAGCAATAATAGTGACCTACATTATTATTCTGCTTATTGTGATACTTACATAGTTATAAATAATGGAAATACAAACTTAGTTGTTTTGAAGATGGATTTAAACCCGAGCAAGCTGGCTTCCTGTACTTCACCATTAAAGAGCAGCCGTAATTCTGACTTCTCAATACAATCTGTGTCGACGCCCGATATTCAAAATTGGATGTCAAACATTGAAGACCTGTTACATGAAGTTTGCACTATTTCCACAGAGGGCAAACTTAATTCGGACCAAAAACTTAAAATATCCAACCTGAGCCGAAAAATTGGTGCTGATGTCTCGCAAATGGCTGTCTTATACCAAGCTCTTAAGCAGCAAGCCCGCATAGCCGTCAACATTATAGATGAGATGAGAGAAAAGCAGGACCTTGTGGAACAAATTTCGGACATCAAGCAGACTATGAAGGATTCAGCATCAACGGGAAATGTTTCATTTGCTGACATGGTAAAGAAGGGAACTGACTTCGTGCGACCTACAAATCTGACTTCTATTGCAATTTACCCAGCAAATAAGTCAAAATCTAGCGATGAAACAAAATCTCTCGTCCAAAAAATCATACGCCCTGACCAATTGCAGCTACATGTGCGTGGTGTGCGTAAAATCCATAACGGAGGCGTTATAATCAGCACTGAGTCTAAAGAAGATGCTAAGAAAGTTAAAGACGCACTAGCCCTATCATCGTCTGGACTTATTGCCGATGAAGCAAAAAAACGAAAACCAAGAATCACAGTTCTAGGAGTGCCGTCTGTTTTATCCGATGCTGATGTCCTCAGGTGCATATTTGAACAAAACATAGCTGGTAAGCTCCAAGAGTTGACTATAGAGTCTTTCCTAACGAGTGTGAAGTTAAGTCACAAATCTGGCAGAAAAGACGCGCCGACTTGTAATTACATCATCGAAGTTCCAGCCAACATCCGTAAAGCGCTTATATCGCAAGAGAGACTCTATATAAACTGGACGTCTTGCCCTGTCAGAGACTTCACGTTAGTAACGCGTTGCTATAAATGTCAGCAGTATGGCCACGCGGCAAAGACATGCCGGGAGCTTCACTCAGTGTGTGGCCATTGTGGAGAAACAGGACACATGACATCCGTGTGCACGAAGACAATCGACTTCCCAAAATGTACCACATGCTCTCGCTTTAACAAGCCCAACAGTCACAAGACAGGAGACGCAGAGTGCCCAGCCAGGAAGATAGCCGAACACAGATATATCAATTCCATCGATTATGAAGGCGCATAAAGAGAAAATGCTCGAAGTCGGAATTCCAATTCGATTAGTCATTTCGTTTAGTTTAGTTAAGTGTGTAACAATTGCACATTAACAGGTTGGCTTACTCAGCAATTTATTGCTGTCCAAGCACATTTGATCTAAGTGTAACAAGTGAGTGACCGTATGGACTCTGACCTAGTTTTTTGTGTTTCTGCAGACGATCTAAAATAATTGATAGCCTTGTAATATGTAATATTATCTAGATTATATATGAATATAGCTTTTATTTAATTTTATATTAATGTATTATGTAGGTTCAACATTTTATTCTCCTTCAGGGAATAAAAAGCGTGATGTTATTATATGTATGTATGTATGTATGTAATGTAGTATATTAAACAATCCTACCTTACTTCTGAAAATTCTGTTAAATATTTTAAATATACTATAAATAAGTTGTCTTATCAGTAACATATTTTTAGAACTCCTGTCGCCTGTGACACAGGAATATTCCTAGTATAGGCATATTATTTTTAAGATCTTGTCGCTTAATTAAGATAATTTTGTACCTATGTTGACCAGTGCTCATATGAATAAAAATTTTATTATTTATTATTTATTATTATTATTTACATGAAGAAACACAACGCAAGCTTTGCTCCACGTCAGTTTTCTGCTCGTTGGTGGTATGACTCCAGTCGAGTCGATACATTCGCACCGAAGTGTGTTCTCCTAAACTTAAAAGTTCAGACCATAATCTCGGCTTGTTCCAAATGTCATGCAAATCCCTCCAGCAGATTTGACGTGATTGAGTAACAAACAAACATACACAGAAACTTTTTCATTTGTAATAACATAACATAACATCACGCCTTTTATCCCCGAAAGGGTAGGCAGAGGTGCACATTATGCAACTGTACAATGTAACACCCACTTTTCACTATTCATGTTATATGTCCTATGTAATAGGAGGTGAGCCTATTGCTATATACCGGACACAATTCCAGGCTCCGTGCTACCACTGAGATTTTTTTTATAACCCTACCTACCGACCCGGGAATCGAACCCGAGACCCTTTGCCCGGCACTTGCGACCACTCGGCCAATGAGGCAGTCCATAAATATGAGGCATAACATAAATAGTGAAAAGTGGGTGTTACATTGTACAGTGGCATAATGTGCACCTCTGCCTACCCCTTCGAGGATAAAAGGCGTGATGTTATGCAATAATAACAAATAATCATCGCACCGTCTTGAATGTATAAGCGTCGAATCCCTGTGACACTGCCACCGCTACAATAAGGTACGGTACCCAGTACAACGGTACCACCAGCCATGGCTCGGACACATATCTGAAACATTACATTTTGTTAACCTCTGGGTCTCCTCTTGAAACCAATCTCAATGTCAATACAATTTCAATCCAATAAAAAACTATGCCAAAAAAACTCATATATAACATCAATCAAAATATTTAACAAAATACCTAAACATATAAGAGACACATAACATCACGCCTTTTATCCCCGAAGGGGTAGGCAGAGGTGCACATTATGCCACTGTACAATGTAACACCCACTTTTCACTATTTATGTTATGAGTCCCATGTAATAGGGGGTGAGCCTATTGCCATATACCGGGCACAATTCCAGACTCCGTTCTCAGCTACTACTGAGAATTTTTTTAAAAACCCAGTAATACTTTGCCCGACCCGGGAATCGAACCCGAGACCCCTTGCCCGGCAGTCGCACTTGCGACCACTCGGCCAACGAGGCAGTCTTACGAGGCAGACATATAAGAGAATTACCTTTAAATAAATTTAAGATTGCATTAAATAAACTACTAAACAACAGTTGCTTTTACACCTTAGATGAGTTTCTGACAATGAAAGTTTAATGTGTGCAATATAAAGTGTGTTATTATTTAGTAAGTCACTAAAATGATAAGTATGCGAATAAAGAAGAGAAGTAATAATAATACGTTAGGATATCCTAATTTGTAATCATTTTATAATTAGTTTCTATACTAGCTTTTACCCGCGGCTTCGCTCGTTTCACAAAAGAATAAAAAGTAGCCTACGTGACATTTACCAATACACACAGCGCCATCTATACCAATACTTTTGTTTTTCCTCGGGAATATCAATTTTTCCGAGTTAAAAAGTAACCTATTATTTAATCCGGACTTCTAACTTTACGTCTGCAAAAATTCAAAGCAATCGGTTGAGTAGTTACGGCGTGAAGGTGGAACAAACAAACAAACAAACTCACTTTCAGATTTATAATATTAGTAAGGATAAGGATTAGTAAGGGTTAATTGTAACATTTTAACTTTATTATATTGTAATATTTAACTTTGCATGCCGAAAACAGTAGGCGATGTATGTGAGACAATTTTTTCATAATTATTATTACCTACCTGTAATTACCATACTTCGTGCAAATAAACGTCCTTATTCTTATTCTAATCTCAATAATTATTCAATGTCAAAACTGTACAACCTCTATCATAGCTATTGAAATAGTTTGGGCCGAAAAATGGGCCGGCTCGATCGGAGTGATTCCACGGCTGACCAGAAAACCAACGTGAAACAACTTTTACATAAATTTTCGCATCTTATTAATATTATAAATGTGAAAGTTTTAGTTTGTATGTTTGTTACTGAATTACATTACAATGGCTAAAGGGATTGGGTTGAAATTTAAAACAGAGGCACATTATTGTCTCGACAACACATAGGCTTTTTATCACGAACGCGGGCGAAGCAGCTGGCAAAAGATAGTTCATAATATTAGTAAGATACTACTGACCTTAATTGCACGGTGGTAGCGACCATGATAAACGTGAAGACAAACACGACGGCCACTCCTATCAACATCGCCAGTACACGACTGAACGCGCTCAGCAATAGCTTCATCACCGTCGACCACCCTGTAAATGGAATAAACATAACTTTTATCCCCGAAGGAGTAGGCAGAGGTGCAAATTATGCCACTGTACAATGTAACACACACTTTTCACTATTTATTTTGAGTCCCATGTAATAGGGGGTGAGTAGTAATAAAGTAGTAATGGTCTAGCTTTAACTTATTTAATTTTAATAATTTATTTCTTTTTCCGTAGTGAAGTATCAATTCTAACCTAACTTAAATCATCATTTCTTATAACAAATCGGTCCTAATGATAATACCTTTGGCTTTTATCTAATTGCCTGAATGAAACATTCAGACATGGTAACGCTTCTGGTGTTCCAGGTGTCCATGGGCGGCGCCGATTGCTTACTGCTGCTCTGATACCAGTCTGCTCGTTTTATCAGCTTGTAAGCCGGTAAACGAGCGGACGGGTCACCTGATGGTAAGCAATCGGCGTCGCCCATAGACACCTGTAACACCAAATGCGTTACAATTGCGTTACCGGCCTTTTAGGGATTAGGGATTTGAGAATTGTTGGATACTAATCACTGCATTGTTGAAATTAAAATAAATAAATAAACATACTGAATCCAACGATCCACACGTAGTAAGTAACGCTGGAGAGTCCCAGTAGAGCAATCAGAACATCCACGAAGTAGGAAGCGAACAGCGAGTAATTTATTAAGAACAAGTTTAAGTAATCGTAGTACACGGCCGCTGAGGGCTGGATCTGAAAGGAGGAAGGCTTATTTAATTCGCAGGCCCAATTTCAATCCTTAAGCAAAGACTAAGTCTAAGTTTCAAGTCAAGTTGTAAGCAAAGTATGTTTGTATGTTTGTAAACGCACCCACGATACAGGAGAAAATTCTAGATTGGGGCAACTTTTTTTAAAAAAGGTCTTGTCTCAGGTGAGTCTCAATCTAAAGCAAATCAAGAGCGAAGTCTCAAATCTAGTCTTGCACTACGTCTCAGACCACGCTCCCGGTCAAGTCAAGATTAAGGACAAGTTACAAGCTAAGTTTCAAGATTTAAATCTTATGTCTCAAGTCTCGAATCTCAAGTTTTGAGTCTCAACTTAAGTTTGAAGATCCATATTTCACATCTTAAGCCAAACGTCAAGCTTGAAGTTTCAAGTCCCAGGTCTCAATCTCAACTTCGCAAGTCTTAAGTTTAAAGTCGTGGTGGCCCGGATGTTTAAGACGCCCGCTTCTCAGGCATGAGGGTGCGGGTTCGAAACCTACCAACGGCAAGTACCAATGTGACTTTTTCCGAGTTATATGTACTTTCTAAGATTATTCAGACACCACTGACAAACGGTGAAGGAAAACATCGTGAGGAAACCTGGGATTATAATTTCTAATTATAAGTTTGTAATCGCCAACCCGCATTGAGCAAGCGTGGTGATTAATGCTCAAACCTTCTCCGTGTAAGAAGAGGCTTTGCTCAGCAGTGGGCACTTATAGGCTGTGGATGATAAAGTTTCAAGTCAAGTCTCTTTCAACTCACCTTGTTCTCCAGTTCCTGCATGGACGCGGTCTCAGTAAGTAGCCCCAGCATCATGTCCCCGGCGCCCTGCAGGACGCCGGCCTGCAGGAGCGACGGCTTGTCGTTGCGAGTGTGGTATACACTCGCCCATTTTACGAATGCTATGTCTATGCCTGGAAGGTTTGAAGAAATTGTTAAATAAATCATATTTCTTGCATTGTACGCGTCGAATATTGTTTTTTATTTTATATTTGACTAGCTACTTCTGCGTGGTTTACGCTTTGCTCAGTTCCTATTGGTCGTAGCGTGATGTTTTATAGCCTATAGCCATCCTCGATAAATGCACTATCCAACACAAAAATAATTATTCAAATCAGACTTGTAGTTACAGAGACTAGCGCGTTAAAACAAACAAACAAACAAAAAAACAAACTTTCGCTTTATATAATAAGTATAGTATAGTAAGATTAGTGTTTTTCAACAAAGGGCGTTTACTTTGAATACAAACATGACCATAAACAGATTCCTTATTTTTTGGGATATAGCGAGTAAACGAACTCATGGACCACTCAACACCAGACTGTACCATTTTATTTTATTATCCTCAAGGTTATTTTCTTTTTCAGTCTTTCTGACTGGATTTAGGTGTTGCATTGTTCTCACACAATCGAACCAATAAAACTATGTAACTAGAGAATTGTATTGTAAACCTGATTGAAAAAGAGTAACCTATGGAGTTTCTTGCTCGTTCTTCTCCATAGGAATCTACACCTTGGCATGAGCAAATAGCTTCACTTATAAATTCTTGTTGTTTGACGTTCAAAAGTGCCATCCTGGTCTAATTGAAATAAATGATATAAAAAAACACTCATGGTAAGACACCTAGACCTAGAACACAGAGTTACAAGTATGTGGCATTACCTTACATTAATTCATTCTGTTTATATTTACCCTGTATATTCCCGAAGTCTCTCCATATCCTGAAGTCAGTATCTGACGGTATGATTCCATTTGAGAATATGAACTCCGCCATGCCTTGCGCGTTAGGACGCGGCGCGGATCGATGGTACGCTTGGAGTACTCGGGGATCTGTTACCTGAAGAAGGATCACATTTTGTTAGTTTTGAGTCTTAAAGCTTAGGCCTTTAGGTCTATACCTACACTTCTTCGCTTGTACACTGTAATACATATTTAAATGACTTAGGAACTGACCTACTACTGAATTGGTAACTTTTTGTTATAACAATTGAATTCGAATAGCTTACGATAATTGGCGCTGCTCTTGAATATGAGTCCCGATGTGACTTGAAACTAGTAGAGCGTTCCTCGAACAAAATTGAGGCATATTCTCAAGCAGAATGACATGATAACTGGTCACCTATCCAGTGCAGTTATTAATGTATTTAATAGTTTGACTGCACGGTTGGTGCGGTGGCTGTACAATCGGCTGCCGTACGTGTCGCGGGTTCGATTCCTGCACGGAACAACTCTTTGTGTGATCCACAAATTGTTGTTTCTGGTCTGGGTGTCATGTGTATGTGAACTTGTATGTTTGTAAACGCACCCACGACACAGGAGAAAATCCTAGTGTGGGGCATAGTTTAAAAAAATATTCAGACGTTATCTAAAATATCAGGACCAACCTAGATATTTGACAAACTTCATAAAAACGTTTAAATAAAAAATTGTTAAAGGTATAGGATATGTCTGAAGGATCGAATCGAAACGAAGTGATCCGACAGAGAACCAAAGTTATCGACATAGCCCAAAGGATCAGTAAGCTGAAGTGGCAGTGGGCCGGTCACATTTGTCGAAGAACCGATAACCGCTGGAGTAAACGTGTTCTAGAGTGGAGACCGCGTCTAGGGAAACGCAGTGTAGGGCGCCCTCCAGCTAGGTGGAGTGACGACATCTGCAAGGTGGCTGGCAGTGGTTGGATGAGAAGAGCTGAAGACCGAGCAGTGGCGTGCCATTGGAGAGGCCTATTTCCAGCAATGGACGAATACAGGCTGATGATGATGATAGGATATGTTTATGTTTTTAGCTCACCTGAAATATCGTAGGTTTGCCGTTCATCCCAGCTGCGTCCAAGTTAATGACAGCTACGGCGCCCCGCGCCCACGGATGTTGCAGAAATGCATGACTTGCCTGTAAAAGAAATATATTAAGGTGAATGCCTAGATAGACCTCGCCATACATTTTTCAGGTGTGGAAATCTCCGTAAATAAATCGTTTCTGGATAATAAAAGCAACATAATAAGACTTTATAATGTAGAGGTGCACATTACGGCACTTGATGCCATTGTACGATGTTACACCCACTTTTCACTATTTTTGTTAAGAGTTCCATGTAGTATACCGGGCAAAATTACAGGCTCCATGCTACTATTGAGAATTTTTAAAAACCCAGTAGTAGTACTTCGCTCGACTCGGGAATTGAACCCAAGACCCTTTGCCCGGCAATCGCACTTGCAACCACTCGGCCAACGAGGCAGATTACGATATAATGTAATGTATTTAATATTTATAATATAATACCTGCAAGCCGTTCTCCTCGGCGCCATTAAACAGAAACAGTATATTGTGTTTGAGCTTCTGTTTGCTGCGCGACAGTCGGTTCAGGGACTCCGCCATTATAGCGCAGAACACTGCGTTGTCTGACGCTCCTGTGATATATAAACATATTTTTAGTATTTGCATTGTTCTTTTGCCACTAAATGATCTTGGCTTAGTGGTACAATCTTGCGATAAATATAAAATGATGGTAAAAAAAAGAACTCGAAATCGACTTCAGACCAATAGTAATTCGCAAATACGGTGGCGCGGGCTTGACTGGTCGTTGTATGGGAGACAAAAGCCGAGTTAAGCATAGATTATTGACTGTAATTATTTAGAGAAAAAGCTTATTAATTTACTCATTAATTACTTATTTATAAACTTAGTAAAATGTACTTACTTACCTAGCGCAAAAGGTACTGAATCGTAGTGGCAATTGACTAGTATAGAACTTCCTAGACTGCCATTAGACAGGAATCCGCTCTCTCCCTCCAGTAAGGCGACGATATTTGATGCATTCTCATATACATTGTAAAAGGATGATGCTGATTGGTGAAAGTAATCGCCTGGAAGATAAAACATTATCATTAGTAGTAGGTATTCGCTACCCCTACTTCTGCCGCGGGTGTCGTCAGAGCCGACTAAAGGACTACACATTTGACAGAGATCGGGCCGAAACGTTGTCTGATAAATCTGAACCTTTAGGAAATTATGGCAAACCTCCCTTAAGTAGAGGAGCCTCATAGTTCAGAAGCGGATGTAGGGGAATTCTAATGGAAGACAATGCTTTTATTTCTATTTTAAATAGGTAAAAAAAAATTCGTATTATATAGGACTAATAATAACATAACATGCAAAAAGTACGTGTTTCACACGTAAATAATTAGGTCTACCCCTTCGGGGATTAAAAGACATAACGTTAATTAAAACTATGAGATATTTAGGCATACATAAATCTCGCGACAAGCTTTCGTGTGTCTAAAACGAGGATCCAATCGAGACACAATGGAGGCGGGGCGCATGAAACAGCGAAGCGTGCCGTCGGCGCATGACTCACGCGTTGCAAAGGACACTCAGGGCGTCGGGGACCGCGGGACGATCTCCGGCCACCGTAAGCACGGGCCTGCGGACGGCAAGGATGGGTAGCTTGCCGCCTGATCAGAATCAGACCCGACCGTGCGGAGCGTCGCATTCCGCGCGTGCCTTAAGACTACCACAGATGGGGCCCAATAGAGCTGCGGATACGGAGCCGCGGAGAACTTAACGGGTTACCACATTCATTATAATTTGTGAAACCCCATATAGCCTATAATCAGCGGACAATTAAGACTTACAACGATATGTCATTTGTCGAATTCTAACAAGTAGTTTAGAAGTTACGAGGGAACAGATGAATATACATAGATGCATACATACATACATAGCCTGTCAAAATCATAACCCTCCTTTTGCTTTGCCGTAGTCGGGTAAAAATATAGTAGAGCTCATCGGTCGTCTGGTTAATAAAAGCCTTAGTCTAAGTTAAATAAAACCCTGTAAGAACTGAATTCACACATACACTCACCCGTGGCAATCTGCCAATCGGTGTGGACTTTCTGATGAGCTCCGCTGGCAATGTCATCGAGCATCATCTTCAAGTCCTTAGTCCGGTTCAGATGGTACGGCGTGCCAGATACCCTCGGCTCATCTCCTACTATACGCGTCAGGTACTTAAGTGCTGCTTCCTCGCTGAATTTGAAGGCATCCTGAAAGGTATCTTAAGTGTTTAGGTGTAAGGTGGTAATTTGATTGAAGATTAATAGAAAACAGCCAATTTGGTCTAGCCGTTCTCAAGTTATGGCGTGAATACGGGAAACGGGTTTCATTTTTATATATACTATATATAGATTAATACTTACATCAACAGCCACTTCTTTGTCCAATATAACTGAAGGCATGGCATCTTCGACGAGCTGTGTCAGGTAGCCGAGCAGTAAATATAGACCGAGCACTACTATTAGTAGTGTACTTGGCACCTGGAAGTGGTTCAATATGATTTATATAGTAATGGCCTTTTTTCTTTTCGGAATTGAACAACTTCAAGCTGAAGCCGGTCATCCAGTTGGTATACAATCAATTATAAGTTTTAGCGCCGGTTTCACCACCTCTATATAAGTACCTGATAAACTTATGTGACAGATAGTTCATACAAATTACGTTCTTAATTCAAATTTATCTGGTAGATAACGGCTACCCAGATATTGTGAAACAGGCTCTTAAAATCATATTTTTGCTAAAATATTTGTTTTGGGAGTCTTCAAGGCCCGAGTGAATAGGTTGCTTATGGGACGATGTGCTCCATCGTAGACCACATCATCGCTTGCCACCAGGCGAGGTAGTGGTCATACGTCGGCTCAAAATATAAAAAAATAGCTTAAAAATATTATTAGGTAGGTACCCATCAAAATACAAACACATAAATTCATTACAGACATTACAAAAGACATTCACATAAAAGCAAGCAAAATAGACAAATATAAACATTTAATATTTTTACTTCAACATAGGCACATTCTTACTGAAACAATCTAAATTCAACAAAACTAGCGGCAGTTTTTGCAACAACTGAATTTTCAACCTTATTCTAAACCTCAATAAGGTCGAAAAATTAACTTACCTTTTGATGTTAAGGTAGATAAATAAAACAGATTAGTCTTAATACTAGAATTAAAAATTAGTAGGTACTTATGTTAGTCTCATTTAGTGTTACAAAGGGTTATAATGATTACCTGATTACCATTACCAAATGATCAATAGGCAGCGTCCTCTTTAAACAATCAACCAATCACAATTCCATTTTCATAATTTATTGCAATCTGATTGGGCAAGTAATGGCGACTATAACGGACGCTCACTATTTTGTTATAGAGAACGGATTAGTAGTGTTTAGTTGTGAATCTTTGGAAACAAACAAAATGTGTTTAGTAATTTATGGAATGCAATAATGATAATTCATTTTTGTACCCATTAATAATAGTTATTGTACCTATTACAGATTTTAAACAGTTAAGACAAGGGTGTTTGCTTTAACTGTTTTAAAATGACAAATACGTTCCTAACTAGATTGTTTTAAGTACTTAATTGGGTATTTGCCAATAAGTCAAATTCAATACTTTTTTCTATCTAATTAAATTAGTCATAAAATCAATGAATGAAAGTATTTTTAATATGAAATTATTTTTAATATTTCATTGTATTGAACAGTCGAAATAATTTATTTTTGATTAAACCAAGTACCGAATTGAATTACGTTTATTTATATAATTTACAATCCTTTCTAGTATTGTGCATATTAATATTAAATTCTAATATCATGTGCATAAATAAATACTAATTTAAAGGCAATAGCATATAAAAATAATTCTTTACTAAAATGAAAAGACGTTTGTGGCGGCGATAAGGTTCTTACACAGCTATTCAACATTTTTACTATACAAGGTGTTCGTTCAAAGCCACGTAATTTTCTAGGAGGTAACTCGGCTAACAATTCTGAGTCCGAATCAATAAAAAAAATTGTAGGTAAATATTTTTCATTTTTCTATAAATATATATAATGGTATAAATGAATAACATAACGGTTAGGGTTGCATATGTCTAGATTCTAGAGCAGCTAGACTATCTTTGCGACAGTAATTCCATGACTTAACAGCAGTGATATCCCTAACAACAATGCTGAGTCAGACTTGATTAAAGTATCCAATAAGAGATGTTCTGTTTTTATAATAGCTATCGTGAGACATATTAAATTAAGTAAAAACGCGGGTTACTCACGTGTACCGAGAAATGCTCTACTAGTTTCGAACCACAAAGGGGTTCTTCCTCATGAGCAGCGTGCGCGGTCGCGGTGACATCGCGCAGCTCACAAGGAGATGTTCTTTTGTTAAACAGTCGGTACCATTCGGCTAACGATCCATCAATCAAATAAGTTTTGGTACAATGTGTTAATAATATTTTGTACCAATCTTAAGTTAGTATAGAAATGTGTTTCATAAAATTTTTATCAACTTTATCTTGATTTCTTTAGTAAATTGTAAGATAACGCAGATTGTTAGCATTACACATTTCGCGATAAAGTAATTAGGTCACCTATTTACCAACAGAAACTAATTAAAAACGTGTGTTGATATTATCTATAGATATTTATATTCGTTTAGGAAAAACACGTTTTTTTTTCAAGAATTAGGAGGCAAACGAGTAGACGGATCACCTGATGGTAAGCGATCAGCGTCGCGCATGATACACTCGCAACACCAGAGGAATCACAGTGTTGCCAGCCTTTTAAAAAGGACTACGTTCTTTTAATCCGTAATTTATTTCAAGCCAATATTATGTTATAAAATTGACATTTATAATAGTTTTTATAAATCTTTTTAACTAAAAATAACAGTTTACACACGTAAATGTACTGAGAATAGATCTACTAGTTTCGAATCACAGAGGGACCCTTCCTCATGATTGTTTTTTTTTTTGGTTATAAATCAATTTTTGTCTTGTTTATCGACTGGAAAGATAGATACTATAATATAGTACGCACATATTATGTGCATATGTAGATATGTACCTATTACGTCACAAATTCATGCATTACATTCCCGATTCATTATATCCGAAATGAGATACAAACTTACTTCTAGCCATAAATAGAAATTATTAATCGCGTGCTTAGAATAAAACCCTTTTTGTTTACGACTTTATAAACCACAGAAAAGCACATAAAAAAATAAATACATTCTTTAAAGCACTTCATAATTTAACCCTGTATTTATTTCTCTTTCAAAGCAACATTTAATATATAATATCCAAGACATTTGGCGATGGCGAATAATCACTTAATCACCTATCTCGCCGAACAAACAACATGTAGTGTCAACATCACAAATAAATATAAATATATACGTAAATATTGTATTTAATCCCCAAATACGTCACGATTTCCAAAAATATCCCTTTTATAATGTAACTTACTGATTTGATTGGGTTATTTAAGTGAGTTCCTTTCTTTGTGAGACTGCCGACAACCTAAAATAACATGCATTTGAATATTTTCATAAAAATATACACGATACAATAGGGTAGATGCCTAATTTTTATGTCAATGCCCGTCTGGTAGATTGCTTTAAAACACTAGACACATATTTTTTATTTTGTTACAGAAACAAATAAATAGTTTCCACGATAAATTGATTTGAAACGTCGCGTGACGTCACTTCTATGTAAATTTTATACATAGAAATGACGTTTTAGCCCCAACCCCTAAACTTTGATTCGTTTTATCTAGGTACTATTTTAGTATACAACAAAACAAAAAAATAAGTGTCTTTTCATTACCTAACTTAACGGACTAAATAGATTTTTAATTTTCGTACCCCGTCATCATCCCAATTATGCTATCATCTTTTAGTGACTGCATTAAATGCAATATGCAACCTAATAACATAACCACTGGAGTTTAAAATTAATTAAATGATCTATGTTTTCTATGACATGGGCCATAAATGATAATCTTTAGAATTAAGCTTGTGCAAATTCATTCAGATAGATAAGAAATTCTTTAAAACTGAAGTAATAAATATATTTATTAATGTATGTAATTGTTACTCAAAATTAGTTGCTATTTCTGAAGGCCTACGTTGAATTTGCCATCAATATTTCATACATTCATCAATTTTGACAAGATAATAATCGACAGTAGCGACACCTACTAAGCGCAAAATATTTATAAATACAATTTGGTTTTTTTTTTATGGAACTGGAGGCAAACGAGCAGACGGATCACCTGATGGTAAGCGATCAGCGCCGCCCATGGACACCCGCAACACCAGAAGAGTCACAGGTGCGTTGCCGGCCTTTTAAAAAGGAGTACGATACAATTTGGTGTTTCAAAATTAAGAAATTTCTAAAGCTAAGACAAGACGATTGATAAATATTTAAGTAAACAGATTATAGTATTATAGAATTAAATAGATTAATCGTAGAACATCGTATGATATTATTAAGTTATCTCAAAGGTAATAAATTAAAATAGTTTCACGAAAAGAGATTACACCAAATAATCTAGGAGGAATTAAAATAAATCTAGAACAATCATAGATTGCTAGAATATTGAGTAATTAATATGAAAATTTAATTTTTAATCTATTATAATCTTAAAACTAAAATCCTTTGTTTTCTATAAGATGTTGAATTAAATCATGGATTTGATTAATGTAGCTTAACTTTGATTTTTAGGGCGTGGTTTTAGACCTTAGAGAAAAATTAAAACTAAGCATTTTATGAATATTTTTTGCTTAAGTCCATTTCACTACTGACTCTACATGAGCTGTTGTTTACTAAGAACATTAGCTCATGACGGTACCTAAGTACGTGTATCGCCTGGACAGTCAACGCTACATCCTTGTTGACTGGACATCTACATTACTTGCACTGCTGATTAGCAATTTTTTACTAATTTTAGGGCCAGTTTTTTAATCGGCAGATAATTCTTACTAACTATAGAATAAAATTGTTAGTTTTTAGTATGGAAGAATTGTCAAAAATTAAACGTTTTTCCTCTGATAAAATGTAACTGAAGTTGGCAAAATTGGTCCCTAAAATAAAAATTTATAGATTTCTGTAGGTATTACCTAATAAATAAAATTGTAAAATATATGAGAATGACTGAAATATCGAAAAAGCAGGAAAATACAGAATTGTATGTAAAAGTCAAGTTATACATACCAAAGAACCAGTTTGTATGGCTTTTGTATGATGTATGAAGATGTTTATATGAAATTAGTAGTATTACTTTGTTATTGAATAGGTGAATGAGAGTGAATGAATGAACTGAACAACAGTGAATGAAGTTTTGAACTGTTTTTGTAAATGAATGAATGATAATGTGAAATGAAGTGCTAGTGCTAATACTAGATTAGTGCAAATTTAAACAATCTATACTCTATTTAAAAACATAATTAAAAAAAAACTGCGTACAAATCAAAGTTTACAAAGGTACAAACAATTCTAAAGTTTAATACCACATTCAATAGGATTCATTATTGATTGACATCTAACATTCCAGCATTACATTACAGCATGCCAGTCTGTGCATAACACTCAAAGTAAACCATGCTGTAAGAATAAGGTGTTACGATTTCAAATCGTATGACACATTTTTTTTTAAATGGAGTATAGATGGTGTTCGAAAAATGGAAAGTGAAGTATACAGGGTGTTATAGTAATGAATGTTTTGTTAACCCGTTGCCAGGGCTTTTCCACTCGTTCGTCCTCGTATTCGATGGTTGGGACTCCAGTGTAGCCATAGTTATGTGTCTGAAATATAATAGTAGAAGATTAGTATGAAAAAGTTATGTACCATAAACAAATTATGTACATTAAAGAATAAAAAAAAAAGTGTTAGAAATAAAGACATAGTCTACACTTTACCAGTCAGTGGATTAACAGCCTTATAACACACGTATAAAGTTGATAATCTATTGACAGAATTGGTGTAAGAAAAAGGAATAAGGTTAGCATCAACGTACACACATGATCATCAATCTACGATATTCTATCAATAGATTTACAACCTTATTAGATAGTAGATATAAAGTTGAAAATTTATTGATGGATCGGTGTAGGTTGATTTGCTGGTCTCTGTATACAGTTTTAGAAATAAGAGATACAACAGTTTACGATAGTTTCTAGTCTTTATTGACAGATTATGTTTCCTGTGTCTTGTAAGTGTGTCTTAGAGTAGTTACATTCATGGTCTGAACCTACGCGTGTCAAAATATGTCCCTAGTTTCTGATTATATCAATCACACATAATAGACATTTATCAATTTAAATTAAATAATAATTATTATACCTATAATTATAATAGGGTAGTTGACAGGTAGTCAAATTCAATACTTTTATTGAAATGTCAAAAACTATACTTTTCTATGAATTTTGTATTGGATCGCAACTTATGACGTCATCATATTTCTGCGTCAAATAGCATACTTATTTCCTTAATACCAAAAGTAGGTAAATCGTCAAATACATGGATGAGAGTATGATTATGTTCTAATTATTTATTGCATTGAAAAGTTGAAACAATTTATTTTAAACCTAGGAAACTAGCCAATTACATAAAATAGACATTTATCATAACATAACATCACGCCTTTTATCCCCGATGGGGTACGCAGAGGTGTACATTACGGCACCTAATGCCACTGTTAATTACGGTTAAGATAAAAACAATTATGTGTTCCGGATTGTTATATTGTGCTCCGGGAGCATTCACGTGTAATGTAACATTATAGATTCGACTTTGAGCATTACATTACATTTATAATAATACCTCCCTGACTAACGAGCATTTGCGTTTAATGTAACATTGATTCGACTTAGAGCATTTCATAGCAGGATGTCGGACGAAGTGACTGCCTCGTTGGCCGAGTGGTCGCAAGTGCGACTGCCAGGCAAGAGGTCTCGGGTTCGATTCCTGGGTCGGGCAAAGTATTACTAGGTTTAAAAAAATCTCAGTAGTAGCACGGAGTCTGGAATTGTGCCCGGTATATGGCAATATATGGCAATAGGCTCACCCCCTGTTACATGGGACCCATCACATAAATAGTGAAAAGTGGGTGTTACATTGTACAGTGGCATAATGTGCACCTCTGCCTACCCCTTCAGGGATAAAAGGCGTGATGTTATGTTATGTTGGACGAAGCGGGCGGGCGGGGAAAGTGGAAGTGGAGTGCATTGATGTTACAAGTTGTATCAAGATATTACACATTGTATCATTGTGTGTCACAAGGTGCGCATTGTAATGCTCGGTTCTCCTCCTTCACTGATGTAATGCTTAGATCTGTAACATTACATTACTCGCTGAGGTAGCTCCTATAAGTTAAATCAAAATATACCTTACATGAATAACTCCTTCGCCGCACACACACACACACTACATGACAAACGTTACTATGGCAAAATATATACAAAAGATATAGACAGCTTGCAGTATACACATTGTAATGACGTTTTCTTCACTTGAGTCCTCTTTCGACTTGGTTATCGCGAACGTTGAACCACAGTGCAAGTTTACACCGTTCTGCCATTGCAAGAGAGGTCTTATAACAATTATTATTATGAAAGATAATTGATTATTGTGTGGACGTATATAATGAAAAATTATTTTTTTTTTCTTTTTCTATTTTTTTTTATTGTGGTATTGTTGGACGCATATAGGTAAAACATACATATCGTCTTAAATATCTCTTATTATGGTTGGTACAGATAATGAAATGCCAACTGATTTATGAATATAACATAACAGTTAGACTGCACGGTTGGTGCGGTGGCTGGGCAACCGGCCGCCGTGCAACGTGTCGCGGGTTCGATTCCCGCACGGAACAACACTCTGTGTGATCTACAGATTGTTGTTTCGGGTCTGGGTGTCAATGTGTATGTGAACTTGTATGTTTGTAAACGCACCCACAACACAGGAGTAAATCCTAAAGTGGGGCAACGTTTTAAAAAAAAGTTAAGGATTTCTTGGTAATTTTATCTATTATATTGCTTAGCAACAATATTTTTTTTCATACATAGGTACATACGTAACTTCTCGCATGTCTTCCATGGGGGCAGGCAGAGACTATGGAATGCCAATAATTACTAAGATTCTTACATACCTCTTTCGCTTCATCAACAGTCATCAATCTTTTCATGCATGCTCGTCGGTGAAGGGTACTTTTATTTTTATAAATTCCAGTCTCTGTTGTTGTTACTATGAATTAAGAAATTAAGTACCTATAGTTAATCTTAGGAACTACATTTCCTGACACAGAGATTTAAAGAATAAGCATTCTCTTAATAAACAAGAAAGGAAATATAAAATGTTATTAATAAAACACAATCGATACGTATCATAATTATTAATAACAAAGATATGTATCATAATGATTGGACTTTATAATAATTATGTGAAAAATAGCGTTAAATAATTTGGCAATTGGGCTTACGGTATTTTTGCTCAATAGATGGCGTTAGTTTGAATCTCTCGTTCTTCGTCCAATAGGGAATTAGCTAGTGTCACATCATTGGACGTTCAATATTTGACAGCTGCTGTGATTGGACCAAAAATCCTTCCTACATTTACGTCATTTAGTGAGCAAAAAAACCATTAGCCTCCATTAAGTAATTTCTTTACGGTCAGTCGCATCTAACTCATTCGATAGTAATCTATATATTTCTATCTGTGGCTTTTTTTAAGGGGGGAAAATCTTCGAATGACTGCTCCCGCCTGGGTGAGGCGGGAGTGTCAGACTCTTACTGACTAAAAACCACCCCGTTCGTTCTCCTGCACGTCGAGCCCGAGCCCCGGTTACACGTTAGGTTCTCTGCGACATCTATCTGTGGCTTAGGTAGTAACTAAGTGAGAGTTTTGATTACTTAGCGTTTCTGAGGAGCCCTTAATAATATGGGTGTTTTGGTCGCACCTGTCTGGCAGTTACTGAGTTAAAGCCACTATTAAAACAGTTTGTTGCACTTGATATAAAAATAGTTTATTCATGAAACTATGCTAAAATAATGGCTAGTGAAAATGGCTATGAATGGACCCGGTTTGCTGTTTTAGTATGCACTGCGTTAGCTACGCACTCAGTGCAGCCAGGTTATATTGCTAAGTTAGCAACCGTTGTCAATTGCAAACTGTTGCATCGAACAATAGTGTAGATGACTAATTTTTATTTTAATGTCTGTCTGTAGGTTTTTTTAAAAACATTAGACACGTATTTTTTATTTTTTACGGAAACGAATACTTTCGAATATATATTGATTTGAAATGTCGCGTGACGTCACTTTTATGTACATTTCATACGTAAAAATGATATTTTAGCCCCCACTCCTAAACTTTGATTCGTTATATCTAAGTATCATTTTAATAGACAACAAAATAAAAAAATACGTTTCTAATATTTTTTCATTACGTAACTTACGGACTAACTATATATTTAATTTTCATACCCTGTCATCATCTCTATTGAAAAGCCAATCGATGAAATATTTAAAATATTCTGACCAAAGAATCATCAAACATTGCGATTCGGGCACACCTCTTCCGTTCCTTTATTCTATATCTTCACGCAAACAAGCCGATTGGAAGTATTAATTCATAATACTAGAATTATTTTTTAATACCTGGGATTTATTCAAATAATATAATCTTTCTTTGATGTTTTCAATGGCTAAACGGAAAATATTATTGAACAAAGAGAACCTGATAAGTCACCAAGTCATCCCTAATCGACACTAGCGCCATTGTGATTGGATATGTAACTAATTATCGATACGTATGGACAAATGAAATTGCATCACAAACTATGCATTCTTTAGTCTACCCTGCAATTGTGATTATCATTGATTAATAGGTATACTTTCCTTTGTTTTTGACAAATAAAAATATGTAGTTCTCATTCTTAATACTTTATTTTTTGAGGGGCGAAAAAAATATTTAATGGCTTGTCCCACTTGGGTAAGGCGAGAGGGAGTGCCATCTACCTAGGTTTTTGTCTACTACCTAGGTATGAAATTTTACGGTACTTCAAAATATTAGACGAGAGAGAACAAATAATACTTACAGGCATACTAGAAAAGTAACTGAAGAATTAAAATGATAATTTATAGATGTTGTAAATCGATAACAGTTTTAAATCACTAACAAATTGTTCCATATCGTTAAAGTATTTATAGTAATAAATGGTCGTTATAAAAAACGTTAGAAGTCATAAATTAGTGTCGCGGAAGCGTCATTGTTTTTACTTCTCAACTAATCTTTCGTTAATTTTTCCATAATTTTTTTATTGCTGGATTTTGTGTATCAACCAACTAGTGTGGTAACGGCTGATTGGTTATATATTTGTATTGTGATTTGTGACCATCCCTCCCGTCCCCACGGATTTCGTAAGAGTCGATTAACGATCATAATAAATAACATACATAACATCACGCCTTTTATCCCCAAAGGAGTTTTTTTTAAGGGGGGAAAATCATCGAATGACTGATCCCGCCTGGGTGAGGTGGGAGAGAGTGTCAGACTCTTACTGACTAAAAACCACCCCGTTCCTTCTCCTGCACGTCGAGCTGGAGCCCCGGTTACCCGTGAGGTTCTCCGAGGCAGAGGTGCACATTACAACACTTAATGCCACTGTACAATGTAACACCTACTTTTCCCTAATTACGTTATAAGTCCTATGTAATAGGGGGTGAGCCTATTGCCATGTATCGGCCATATTTCCGGACTCCGTGCTACTAGTAACATTTTTTTTTAATCCAATAGGTAATAATTTGCCCGGCAGTCGCACCTGCGACCACTCGGCCAACGTAGCAGCCTAAATAAATAAAATATCAAGCAAGGCAAAATAAATAACTGATTTCAAGCAATTTAGTTAAATCCATTTTTTAACATTATTTGTAAGGAGTTTCATTCCAAAACTCAGATCGATCCACTCCAGAGATTTATCGGGCAGCAGAGCTCTCTTTCTTTCTTTCTGGATTGGTCATTTCATGCATACCTATGTATACCTCATGTAGTTAGCTGTGTAAGTAATTAACCAACAATGCAACAATATTTTGGTGATGCTCGTTTAAAAACCCTGTTCTCCTTAAGTTTAGTCTGAACTCAGCAGACCACCACAGTAGGGCACCACAGTAGGGTACCACAGTAGGGCTGATGCCGAGCCGCGGAAGGCCTAACGGGTTGCCGGGTTCCGGCTCGACGTGCAGGAGTAGGAACGGGGTGGTTTTTAGTCAGTAAGAGTCTGACACTCCCTCTCGCCTAAACCAAGGCGGGATTTGGATAGGATGATTTTCTCCCATCAAAAAAAGGTTTGTCTAAACTACAGTCCATTGATCTAGCCTCCAAATAGGACAATTGTCTTCATTGTTACCGAGACAACGTCAATATCTTATCTCAGTCACTAGGCACCGAGATTTACTTGTCGAGATAAGCGAATAACGCGCCTATATCAATGAGATATGACATAGATTAGCTTTGTATAACACTCATATTTGTGTTTAAAATGCTATTATATCGCTACCAATGCACGAGTTCAAATACCTATGCGCCTGAAGTAGTAAACAGAGGTTCATTTATGCAAGATTCATCTTGATGTAAAAGGGGTTGAAGTTATTGCTAATTGAATAATATACGGTATCTAATAGTCTCATGCACTAAATACCGAACCCTAATTCAAATTTAATGCTGCTTTAGCCATTTTATAAGTGTAATTTGCGATTGAAATGTCACTTTTTATAGAAATTCTTAGAGCAAACCGTACAATCCCAGAGGTGTCCTAAACCGATACTAGCGCCACTATGCTAGACCTTTAAAACTACTTGCTAAGCAATCGTCCACCTCACCAAATGTACAATTATAAAAAATCTATGATAACACATTACACCTTTCTTTAATTGATCATACAAGGCTTTTAAATACTGGCAGCATTGTCGCAAATGGCATTATCCTTTTAATATCGAGTATTTAAGTATTAAGATAAGTGTTATATTTATTTGTCAGTAGTTATTAAGTATAGATAGATACCTATTCTGACAGAGATGAACGACTGGTCAGCTCTACATTGGAGTCCGAATGGATGCCGTCCGTAACTAATGTTCAAATATTCACACGTCACTCAATTTTAGGTATAGTTCTGTCATTAAATTCTTTTTTTATGAGATAAGTCGGTAAACTAGCAGACGGATCACCTGATGGTAAACAATCGGCGCCGTTACAAGTGCGTTACCGGCCTTTTGGGGATTAGGAATTTAACTATTGTTGGGAATTCAGTGATTGGGGAGATTAAGGCAGGGAGTAGGTTGGGCCTCCGGTAACCTCACACACGACGACGATCTCGATGTTTAAATACAACTTAAAATTGAGTAGCCTTTCAGTATTCGGGTGTAAATGAAACCTTTGATCTTGAATTTGAATATAAGGAAACATTACGTAGTTACTACATTTTATCAATGCAATAAAATGATAAATGATTGTTCTTTACACCGATATTATTTTACGACTGCAATTATAAACATTTATTGTCTGATTAAAGGCGTGAAATGCTCAAAACATGCCAATGTACCGGTAATACCTGAGATTATGATAATAATCAATTCTTATAAAATATCGCATTTGAAAAATGCTGACCGCTTCAGATATACATGGACAGCTGTTAATTTACATTCTATAAGTTACTACCTTCTACCAGCTGCTTCCAGTGTGAGGAGTATCTGTTTGCAATATAAAGATAACCGTTTTTTACTACATACATATGAATACCTATACATACGAGTTTTATTAAAGGGGGGAATGTCATCGAATGACTTTTCCCGCCTGGGTGAGGCAGAAGGGAGTGTCAGGTTCTTACTGACTAAAAACCACCCCGTTCCTTCTCCTGCAATCCGAGCCGGAGCCCCAGTAACCTGTTAGGTTCTCTGCGACTCCAAACCTATACATACGATACACATACCAAAATATATTTTCTTTTATTTTTGTCTGTCTGTCTGTTTGTTTATACTGGCTAATCTCTGGAGGAGCTGGACCGAGTTTGCAAGACTTTTATTGGCAGGTAGCTGATGTACTAAGAAGTAACATAGGCTATTTATATTTTGGAAAATTCAAACAAAGAAAGTTATGTTCTAAGATTCATATTCTATGTTGATGAACTCACAAGCAATAGCTAGTTTGCAATAATTCAATAAATTATTGACCAATCATTTTGATGTTATTAGGAAAATAAGTTGCAAAAATATCTTAATTGTAATATTAATTTAATATGGACCGGTGAGTATGAACTAATTAGACTACCAGCCCTTTACTTATGTACCTATTTTCCTCATAGTTCGGCAACAAATATTGATTTATCCTTAAAATTAAAATTAGTATTAAACTGTCAAACACCAAGCGGTCACCGGTGACCGCGACCTATTATTCTTTAATTGTGTCTATAAAACCGGTACTCGACGAGTTAAGTGGGTAAATGAGACATTTTATTTCTACTTTTAACTCGTTGAGTACCGTCATTATAGACACAATTAAAGAACAATAGGTTGCGGTCACCGGTGACCGCTTGGTGTTTGACAGTTTAAAGAACCTAACTATAATATACCTACCTCTGCCTACCTTTTCTTGGATAAAAGGTGTGATGTTATTTATAATATTTTTTAATAATATGTATCATGTTTCGTCTAAAAGACGGTACTGTTTACAATGTCTGTAATTGCACAACTGCATTTTCTATAAAAATACAATTACGTTTGAAATATTATCAACTTAGAGGATAGCATTTCAAATGTAAAATCTGCAACATTTTTAGCCTGCTTAAAACAATAACTGCTGAATAGGGAGTGTCATGTTTGGTTACCGTATATGGCAAACTAAGTGTTAATTTTTAGTAAGTAGTACCTAATATGAGAGTGAAATAATAGACTGGATATGATGTAGGTATTATGTTACATTAATAATTGAATACTTACATAATTATTATGCAGGTATTGCTCAACATAGACTTAACTCTTTGAGTACTGTCATTATAGACACAATTAAAGAACAATAGGTTGCGGTCACCAGTGTCCTCGTGGTTTTTGACAGTTTAATCAAATATAGTATCTCATATTTTAGCAGTAGCAATTACAATTTTAGGTAGACCAATAAGAACTTTTTGTACAATATTTTTTTTTTTTTTTTTTTTTTTTAAAAAAACGTTGCCCCACACTAGAATTTTCTCCTGTATCGTGGGTGCGTTTACAAACATATAAATTCACATACACAATGACACCCAGACCCGAAACAACAATTTGTGGATCACACAAAGTGTTGTCCCGTGCGGGAATCGAACCCGCGACACTATGCACGGCAGCCGGTTGCCCAGCCACCGCACCAACCGTGCAGTCAAATTTGTCTTACTATTAATTAAAAATATTTTTTTTTTTACTTATATTTAGGCTAAGATCAAACATAACACATAACATAACATCACGCCTTTTATCCCCGAAGGGGCAGGCAGAAGTGCACATTATGCCACTGTACAATGTAACACCCACTTTTCACTATTTATGTTATGAGTCCCATGTAATAGGGGGTGAGCCTATTGCCATATACCGGGCACAATTCCAGACTCCGTGCTACTACTGAGATTTTTTTAAAACCCAGAAATACTTTGCCCGACCCGGGAATCGAACCCGAGACCCATTGCCTGGCAGTCGCACTTGCGACCACTCGGCCAACGAGGCAGTCAGGTGGGCTAAGATCATTGTTACATTAATCTTGCAGGGTGCTATCACATTCTTACTCTCTTTCTCACTCTATTTACTGATTGTTTTAAGTGATAGTAAAATGGAAGTAGCATAGAGAAGTGCTATACTTTTTTTTAGCAATGGCAGTATCCTGTTAGTTACCAGTTTTAGTTACAAAAATATTCAGGTACATACAGACAGAACATTTATTATGAAGAATTAAGTATGTAATTATAAGTTACAATTTTCTTTAACTTCAAATTAAAGTATAATCATAGATCCTAGAAGCTAATAGGTATGGTAGATATGATCTTAATATTTTGTTGTGTTGTTTAATTATATTTATATGATGTTTTGAATTGTCTAAAGCAAAGTTCGAAACTAAAGTTTCTATAAGTAAGTCAATTTACTTTACTGATCAAAGTTTCATTATTTACATATTTTTACGAATGCTGTATAAAAGTTGTTTTGACGATTATTATATAATATTATTTCCTTATAAATACAGTACAAAGTATCAACTTCTCAAATTAATAAACAAAATAAAAAAAATAAAAACATACCGCAGCTAATCTCCTGGTTCGGGGTAAAGGCTCAGGTTTGTCTGGATCAATCATTTTATTGATATATTATTTACACTATGTTTCACTTCAAAATCAAATTTTAAATACGAAATATCAAAAATTCAAGAACACTGTAATACCAGTAGGTTGTATGCTCAGTGACAGTGACACTGATAAAAATAAACACAAATCCGGCCGGCAGAAAACTGTCAGTGTCATCTATGAAACTGGCAATTGATTAGAATGTCTAAGTGACTGATAATATGGTGTTACCGCTTAAAATCAAATTAATATTATGAGGTTTTAGTGATTATTTAAAACACCACTACAAGTTTGAGCTAGAAATAAATTGTACGTAACTGTGAAAACACAATTGATGAGTCTTTTTTGTATATTTTTTTTGCAATTTAACTCGTCGAGTACCGGTTTTATAGACACAATTAAAGAACAATAGGTCGCGGTCACCGGTGACCGCTTGGTGTTTGACAGTTTAATTTGGTTAATCGTCTAACAGATGGCGTTAGTAGTACTAAAACAATACTACAATAGGTATCAAAATTAAATACCATAACTAAGGTATCAAATTAAAAAAAGTTTAATTAATTGATTCATTTAATTTTCTTTTTAAAATAGAATTAGAGACTCAGTTGTCATTCAAGAAAAAAAATTATACCTACTATTCTATTGCCATTTCGTAGAATAATCAAAATACCTTCAGCGATCTCATTTATAAACTGAGGATCACTTTTTTCCTTCTTTACAAGTAAACATTAGCTGGAATATATCTATTTATGGTACAATTAGTAGGTAAGTGGGAGGAGGATCTACCTACTTATGTTTCGCCTCGGAATTAAGCCTCCGAATCAATAAAAAGTTGCTAGGCAACGGAGAATATTAATTTTTTTCTTTCCTCTTTATTTGTTTAGTAAGCATCTACCATTCCACATGTAGGTACTTATTGCTAGCTTGTATTATCATCAAAGTTTATTGATTTGTTTATTTAACATAACATAACATCACGCCTTTTATCCTCGAAGGAGTAGGCAGAGGTGCACATTATGCCACTGTACAATGTAACACCTACTTTTCACTATTTATGTTATGAGTCCCATGTAATAGGGGGTGAGCCTATTGCCATATACCGGGCACATTTCCAGACTCCGTGCTACTACTGAGGTTTTTACAAACCCAGTAATACTTTGCCCGGCCCGGGAATCGAATCCGAGATCCCTTGCCCGGCAGTCGCACTTGTGACCACTCGGCCAATGAGGCAGTCAATTGCATAAGGAAGACTTATTGCTAACAGCATTCTCTGCCAGTCATCCTTTGGGTAGTGCAGAAATGTATGTGGTAGGTGGTAAGCTGCAAAAAGGTTATGACAGATAGTGATAATTATCCAAATTATTAGTTTATGAATGATTTAAGTTTAATTCTGTATATTTGAACTCTTTACTTGGTTACCTCTGTGAGTACCTAAAATACCTACTTACTTATTATTAGTACTGACAGGCTAAGTAATAGGTGCGATTGTCTATTACTATCCGAGATATATCTACCCGATACTCGAATCAAACCCGACACACTTTGCTCAGAAATCGACCTCGCAACCATTCGGATATGTCGACGACACAGGCAAGAAGAAAATTCATCTGTATTTCAAGTCATCTCTGTGTAAAGAAAAAATAATAAATACTACATTTTTATTTTATTTTACACACTTGAATCTATGTAAAATCAGAGCGTCAGTTCTCCGGCAATACATAGGCTGCCCGGGCCCGAGCTTACAGCGCAGGTGCAGCATGCAGGGTGGTTCAACTTTTGATCGATGTAACATCCTATATATAGAGTCCGACAGGGAGGCACATCACCCCTTTTGGAGTTCCGCTATAAATCATACGAAACTCAGATTTATGAATAATTTAAATACTCAGTAAGTGACTTTTTGTAGCTGGTCTATCGTGATAAGGTTAAGACGTCAGCTTCTCATGCATGCGGGTGCGAAACCTACCAACGGCAAGTACCAATGTGACTTTTTCCGAGTTATATGTACTTTCTAAGAGTATTTAGACACCAATGACAATCGGTGAAGGAAGGCATCGTTTTTTTTTATGGTATAAGACGGTAAACTAGCGGATGGATCACCTGATGGTAAGCAATCGGCGTCGCTCATGGACACCTGGAGCACCAGAGGCGTTATAAGTGCGTTACCGGCCTTTTGGAATTAGGAATTTTTGGAATGTTGGGGATTCAGGGACTGGGGAAAGGGAGGGGGGGGGGTATTGGGCATCCGGTAACCTCACTCACACGACGAAACACAACGCAAGCGTTGCTTCACGTCGGTCTTCTGTGAGGCCGTGGTACCACTCCGGTCGAGCCGGCCCATTCATGCTGAAGCATGGCTCTCCCACACATCGTGAGGAAATCTGGATTTGCCAACCCGCAATGAGCAAGCGTGGTGATCCTCAAACCTTCTTAGTATGAAAAGAGGCTTTCTGCAGCAGTGGGTTCACAGGCTGTTGATATGTGTTTTTATTGTGTAAAGTAGCTGAAATGATGACGCTATTTACAATGGTTGAATAGTGTAGTTGTATAATATGGAAAGAGTATTTGATTTTGTTTTTCAGTGGGTGGGTAAGAAATGCTGACACCGTCATCAGTGAAAGTACCAGCAAAATATTTTGACGCGACGAAAAGAAAAAACAATATTTACCATTAATCATTTATGAATAAAATCTGACCTTGGAATAAAATCCACTCCACAAACTGTTTCGGGTCTGGGTGTCATGACATGTGTATTTGAACTGGTATGTTTGTAAATGTAAACACGGCACAGGAGGCAATCTTAGTGTGGGGAATTGATTTTTAAAGAAAGAAAAAAGTATGCAGTATTCCTACAGTATTCAAGTTGACTCCCTCATTGGCCGAGTGTTCGCAAGTGCGACTGCCGGACAAGGGGCCTCGGATTCAATTCCCGGGTCGGACAAAGTGATACTGAGGTTTTTAAAAATTCTCAGTAGTAGCATGGAGTCTGGAATTTTGCCCGGCATATTATGGCAATAGACTTATCTCCTATTCCACAGGACTCATAACAAACAGTGAAAACTGAGTGTTATATTATACAGTGGCATTAAGTGCCGTAATGTGCACCTCTGCCTACCCCTTCGGGGATAAAAGGTGTGATGTTATGTTTGTTGATACGCCAAAAGTGTTCCCATAATACGCTAGATATCAGTCCTTTTAGTTCTATATCATACTTATGATTCGCAATACACATTCAGCATCCCTCGCTACTGTAACGATACCTCACAATACAAACACACGAGCACACCATTAATCATCGCTTTACCTCAGATCTCTGCTAAAGAACAGCTGCAGCAATGTTCGGTCTACCGTAATAACAACCCTATAGTCTTCAGAATAAGAGTGGTATTCTTAAAGCGTATATTATTCAGAACAGAAGGCACCCTCGTGAACTTGAATGATTTTCTCAAGATCGTGGCCATGACCTTGTCAGAGTAAAATGTTGGGGTACCTGAAGAAGGGAGATGTGTTCGGTGTTTCCATCATTTGCATGTTTAACTTAAATTGGTTGCATTTGTTTTATTTTGAACGGTTTATGTCGAATTTAACCGCTACTCAATTTACAAGTTGTGACCGCTCTCTACTAACTACATTATAGACCTTATTTAGTTACCAAGGCTCCGGCTCGACGTGCAGGAGAAGGAACGGGGTGGTTTTTAGTCAGTAAGAGCCTGACACTCCCTTCCGTCTCACCCAGGCGGGAGCAGTCATTCGATGATTCTCACCCCTTAAAAAAAAGCTACTACTTAGCTATTAGAATACTTTTTATTCTAAAACCCTCAAAACGCAATGACCAAAAACGCAAGTCTATTAAAATATACAGAACCATTAATAATAATGTAATTGTATCTGAGTGGTCTCGTCCCGGCTGCAGGCAGGGTGCGTTTAATTCCATTTCCCAGTAACTTCGTGGAATTTGAACACACACATGCGTACATAAATCAACACACACTCTCATGTTATTTTAATGTGTGAGTTCATGGAAAGGACCCCTGTCTGGTCCTTTGATGTCGATTTAATGGAGTTCGAACATGAAGGGAGGATTAAGTATTTGCTTTTCAATTAATTTGTAAGCATATCTATAGTACTGTCTGGACTATTCAGTTTGTGATACAATGGAGACGTGTTCTTTGTTATATTTTTGTACATATAATGTTGTGAGGACCTAATTAAATATTTGTTTAGAATATTGATGGATTCGGTAAGTGTGGGAGAGCGGCATGCTTTAGCACGAGTGGGCCGGCTCGTCCGGGATGATATCACAGCCGAGCAGAAAACCGACGTGACGCAACGCTTGCGTTGTGTTTCTTCGTATGCGTGAGGTTACCGGAGGCCTAATTACCAGAACTCCCCTCCCAGTTTCCCCAATCCCCGAATCCCCCACAATCCTCAAATTCTCAATTCCCAAAAAGCTGGTAACGCACTTGTATCACCTCTGGTGTTTCAGGTGTCCATGGGCGGCACCGATTACCTACCATCATGGTGATTCGTCGACTCGTTTATCGGCTTATCCCATAAAAAAGTATGTGGATTCGATTGACATATGACTTGGGTGAAAGTACGTATAAAATACGAGAAATATAAGTGTAGTAAGGAAAAACTATAAGCACCAAATTATAACCTTTTACTACCTTCGGTAAAAGACCGCTATGGCTCATATCCAGCTTATTCATAATCATAACACAACATAACACCACGCCTTTTCATCCCCGAAGGAATATGTTGAGGTGCACATTACGGTATTTAATGCCACTGTACAATGTAACACCCACTTTTCACTATTTATGTTATGAGTCCCATGTAATAGGGGGTGAGTCTATTGACATATACCGGATCAACGAGGCATCAATCGCTTATTCCTAAGTTAATTTATCATTGTGCCCTTTCCCTTGCATCTTGGCTGCTCGCCAAGTCACACATGGGTGAGTGGCTTCATGCTCCACAACCGTTTGCCCTCTAGACACAGTAAACCA